AACGGAACTAATAATACGCCAGTAACTTTCCTAATATTCCATATGCATTCTCGTATATTTGCCATTTTTCACGGAAAATTTCAGAGATTTTTGTGAAATTACGAATACCAAAAAAATTTTTACAGTAAAGTTTGTAATAATTTCGGCTTAACTTTTCATACACCTTTGTCAGCAAACTTGAATATACCAAAATTGTTTGAGAGTCCTTACAAATCTTTCGCAAGAAAAATGAAGGAAAATTCATTTTTCTTGTATTTTCAATATTTTCTCTTCCCATTATTGTTGCTGCTTTTCGTCGATGCCTATGTTTAATCCAAAATGTCTAAACAACCGTTCTCCCGTTGTTACTGCGTAGTGTTTTAAGGGTATTTGCCTTGCTTGCTCTTTCGCTTAAATGGGGAGGTATTTCTAGTCGCAAGGCAAATTCTCTTCCAAAAAAGGTGCGAAATATGGCATTTTCGGGAAAGTCCATACTTCTTATCGACAAATCAACGATGTTTACTGATAATTTATAAATGAGGTTTTCAAATATACCAAACATAAGTTGAGTCTTGTGACGATATTCTACAGTACTGTCAATGTTTGCGTAGTCGAGGTTTATATTTATTTTGTGATTTCTCAGGAGAGCTTTCCACAACTTTGAGGAGTTTTGGTGTTCAAGTTTTTCGGGAAGGTGTTTGGTTCATATAGTAGTTTTTCCTTGTGTTTCTTGCCATGCATCCTTGCTCATTTTTGTTAAACTGTATACACCATTAACATTATTGCTGGATAGTTTAACTCCATTGGCTGCGATAAACCCTGTAGTTTCCGAATGGAATGTCTAAAAGTAACCTGTGCCACCTGTGCATTCACAATGTCCATGTCCCTGTTGACCATGTCTCTTTAATTCTTGATTGGTTCTTCTCGACACCATAGAGCTTGGCAATTAGCGAGATATGCATCAGTTCCTGTGATGGGAGGCAAAGAAAATGGTCTAACCTGCATAGGCTTTATGATGGTACTGTACCGTTAATGTAGATGGCATTTGAGTGAAAATGGTCGGAATCAGGTGAGATTCTATTTGACTGGGAGCATATAAAATGCAATTTAGGCAATTAGGCAGTTTTAGGTCGTATTTTTTGTTGCCATATTGGTTGTGTTTTACTACGATGTAATGGGATTATAACAATGGGATTTTATAGCAAAGTGCAACTTATCAAGATAGATACAAGCACGGATTGAGAACTCTCGCTTGTTGTAGATTTTGAATGATAAATAAGGATAAATAATTAAGTGGTCGCTCACCATTTCTGGTTTACTTCTGTGCTGGTTGTTGAAAATTTTGCTATAAAGTCACATGGGTTTACAAGCACACCACTAACATTTTTCAATTAGTGTTGTTGGAAGCAAGAATCTGAGACCTCAGTGCTTGAGACGCCAGTCTGGACAAGCACCTCTCGGTACTTGTGGAAGGATGCACATTCTCATATGATAAATATAAGCTTTGATGGCAAAGAAGTGTATGAATTTCATGTTATTGCTGAAAATTTGTTGAATTTTTACGATAAATTAATCGATACGAAAGTTGTAGAAAATGGTTTTGGTTAAAATTCCGATCTTAGTTAATGCCGATTATGTTGAATTTATTTTTTGTAAGAATTTTCACCAGTTTTGAAAACTAGTGAAAACTTATATGAATATTAAGCATAATCGTTCTTTTTTTTCATCATTTTAAACGTAGGTTTTCAGTTATTTGATTTTCAGATTTATGGTTTTATTGGAAAAATTTTGCAGTTTTTGGTGTTCAATTTCATCTCATTTTTCGTTTTGTGATTTCTTATTGCTTATAATCCAGATAGTTTGTTTGATATTCAGCGCTTTTTTATCACCATTCTTGGTCAGGTATAAGTTTTATTTCAAATTTTTTTAAAGTATAATTTTAATTATCAACAATTCTGCGATAAGTCGTCAGGTACATTTTAAATTTTATTGTAACTTTTTGATCAGAAATTTTAAATTTTGATGTATCACAGGATTTTATTACTTCCTACAATGATTTCATTCAAATCTCCGTTAAATTTTATCTTTTTGACGTGTCCTGATGAGTTGTCTGGTGTATGCTCTTTCCCGACAGCTACGATTCATCTTGCAGAAGTATGTTAAAGTATGGATCATTTTTTTCCATTGTTTAGTTTTTTTCGAAAACTTTAAACTTTTATGCTTTATATCATGCATGTGTTTTTTCAACTATATTTTTCAAAATTATTCAAGTAAGGAACCATATAGAGCTTTATTATTATTATTATTTTGGACTGTTTAATTTTAATTTATTTTTTATTTACTTGAGGAAAGACTAGGTAGGACATGATGGCAATGCGCTTGAGTATAGTATGATATCTGAGTGGTAATAGCAAAATATAGGTTATCACCGAATAAAAGCACGTATAATATAATATAAAGGAATAATATAAAGTAATATGATAAGCATGATGATATAATGCACAGAAAATAATATATAAAAATAATATATATTATAAAAACAAATAATATAATTAAAACCATTATAATATTAGCGAAAATAATTAAAAAGGTAGCAAATTTCGTTTTAATTAATTTCGCGTATAATTCTTTTCAATTTAATTTTAAAACTAGGTACTGATGGGATAAGGATTGTGTATAAGGCTGATTTGTTCCAGTGGTTAAAAAAATTATGAACATTAGATCAGTCCCTATATAGGTTATCTTCAATCCATTACTCCTAAAATTATTTAAATTTAGCGAAAGATCATAAAGAATCTATTAAAGAAAAAGAAAATGAGATCTTTTTTCTCACTGAATCCAAATCATAAAGTCAGTTTTGAATAATTTAGAGTACGGTCTAAGTTAAGTGGCGCAGAAATTGTTTCTGTATAGTTCCAATTAGTTTAATTGACTTTTTAAACCAGGTTGAGAAACAAATCTTGTGTTTTTAAGGCAAAAATCTTACACATATTAGTGAAAAAGATTTCATTCTAATTTATTTATTCAAAATCGTGTATTTATTTCATTTATTATCCCTTGCAGATATTAAAAGAAAAGTTTGATATGAGCTTGAAGTTATATTAAGAAAAACTGTAATTAACAGGAAAACTGGTATTTTAATCCTACGCTAAAATATGAAGTAAATGTAGCAATCGAACTAACTAATGCAAATGTGAATGATCATCTTGGTATGTTCCAACTGATTTATGAAACAATTGATGAGGAAGGAAAGAAAATCGTTTCATACCACCGTAGTGTTTTCCTTAAAAAATCAGGATACGTATTTGTGAAACAGGTTGGTTAATTTCAGTTATAATTTGTTCATTGAAATCGTAGATTTCATTTATTATTCTTTGCAAATTTATTTTAAAATTTCTTGTATCTTTAGGTTGCGTTCTTTTTGTTTTATCCGCTCTATTATTTTCAAATTTTATCTGATCCTTACGCTAGGACACTTCGAGTTTCTTTTACCGATCGTTTTAAAGAAATACAATCGCGAACAACTTCTGCCATCGTCGTGCAGCTGCAAAATAAATTTTTAGAGGTTCTACATTGATTTTTTTTCTGGTCTTTATTTGAGTGTCGGTAATTAATTTGCGTCCTTCTCGGTTCCAAGTTTATAGAGAGTATACAGAGCTTTAATATAATTGACAGGAGAACTGGTTTTTAATCCTTTTAATCCTACTTTAAAATGTGATATATTGCAATGGAATTAACTAATGTAAATGTAAATGTTCACTTGGTATGTTTCAACTGATTTATGATTTATCTCAAGAATGCTAGCAAAAAATCCTGCTAAAAAATGGGATGTGGAATTGGGATAGGAACGGTGTTTGTGGATTAGCAAATCCACTGGTGCCAAAAGTATGTGGTACTGTGATTAATATTTTGATAATACAGTACTGTGAAAATCGTCATTATAAATATTGTGGCTTAGTTTGGATGGTTCTACCGAGTCCTCAGAAATTTTCTTCAAAGAATTAAGTGAGAATATAGGTGCAGATATCTCTTAGCACCATCGAATTAATAACAGGTTTATTCTCGTCAAGAGTTGAAAATCGAAAATCGAACTTGTTTTGTCTTCGCCACTACTAAGCCACAATATCTTTTTTCATTATCTTCACTTTTTTTACCAGTTTGGAACAAGGAAATTAATTAATTAATTAATTAAGGCGATGCGTTTAGTTTAATTTTCTCAAATATTTTTATCGCTTCATTTTCAATTTCTGTTTCAAGATTGAATCAGGTGTGATTATGGTGGAAGCAAAACTTGGATTTATGAGCAGCTTCCTTTTCTATTGGCCTTTCATATCAGGAATAGTAATTTTCATATTTATTTCAAGTATTGGTGTATCATTCCTTCTAATTTTTTGGTTTTGGCGCGGTTTTTCCATGATTTTCCATAAGTATACTTCTATGAACTACGCTGATATTAAAAATGATACCAACGCTTTGCTTGCATCATCCACTTTTCAGGTAAATATCATAACTTATTTCGGCATTAATTTGTCGAAAATTTGTAGCATCTGGTTATGTATACTATATCATTAAGCTAATTAATTTTGCATATTTGTATACTGTTGCTTATGTTCAGACAAAATTCTAGAAATTTTTAAATCAATATTATTTTTAATTTTGTCTGAATTTCAGACGAAAGAAGATGAAAAATATTCCGAGTCATACAGCTTAGCGCAATCATCTATAAAATGTTCATCAACCCAATATGATTCAATGATTAAGTTTTATTTGAGGCATCGACGGCGGCGATCAACTAAATCGGAAAATTAAAGATTTCATGAATCCCATCTTTTTGTGATGACTTTTAGGATTGGTATTCTTGATACTAGAAAATTTTTTCATCTTTGTTTTTTTTTATCGTTCAGAATGATATTAGATGAAAAATGGTGAAAGGACTTAATAAAAGAACAAATAATAAATGTGGTATTGAATATAGAAGGAAATCAAACGATAATAAAAGGGATAAAATAGCAGTTCAAGAAGACAAATTTTTTATTCGGATAAGGCACGTTATTGTGGAAAGAGTTAATATGTACAATAATAGATGGAATTTGATCTCACTTTGTAGATTTTTTTCAATATCATTTAGACTTTGTATATAATAAATTATTGATTTTTTTGTGGTGATCTTCATTCATGTAATTTTTATGGAAAGTTTTTGATAAAAATTGATCTATTCATTTTCTTCCCATTCATTAGTTGTTCAACTAATTATCTTTGTGATATTTTATTATTATTGGATAACATTTTGGTTATTTGCAGTCTTTGTTTTAGTACGGAATTTCGAGCAAAGATTTTTTAATGAATGATTGTTTGAGAGGAATATTGGAAACATGGTTTAGAAATTTGTGGTTCCTCTGGTTTTTATGTTTTGAACCATTTGTTTTTAGGCTAGGTTACCAGTTAAATATGCAATTTAATTTATGAATTGGAGACTAGTTTTAGTCGCAAAGCAAACAGCGAATTCATTGGTTGCTAGGTTGGTCTATTTGTGCTCTTTTTATATTTCTATATTTTTTCGTATATTTTGTCTAATTTTTAGTTCATATAGTGATAGAATAAAACTTTCTTTTAGAGAATTGCAATTTGCTGTAGTGTTCGATAATAATTATGATTATAAAACTCTCATAAAGTTTTCTTTTTTGCACCTGAAGTACTTGGTCATTAGAAAAGTTTTCATTTTTCATGTCATCTGCTTTCAGAGACCATCATTCATTGAAAATAATTATTTTGACAAGCACCGTTACAATGAATTTTGTAATGAATTTTGATGGTCTGGAACCTTCTGGAACCATTGTAATACTGAAGTCATTTTCAAAGTCCACCGATTTCCGGCAATATTTCTTTTTGTAGAGGTTGTTGGGAGATGGATTGGGGAAAGGGAGGGGAGCGAAAGAAAGTTAAAATATACCGGAAGCTTTGAAAAGTATTGTGGATCGGAAATTTCGATATTCAACTCTTCATATTTTTGCAGAGTGCAAAATGGCAAAACGATGCATGGTGTTTTCGTGCAAAATAATGAGACCAGTGCTTGTTGAAACGTTTTAGTTATAGTTTCTGCTGATTGTTTCCAATTCTTTATTGTAGTCGCTGCATTAGAGAGAGAATTATATTAGATCAATCCAGCAGAAGATCACCACACATTGACCATAATCTGCATAGATCCTTATGTGATGCTCAGTTATTTCATGGGGCGTCCATTTATTTTTTTCTTTTTTCTTCCTTATTGATGATTCCATAAAATACTGCGTAGAACATCAACTCATGAAGTAAACCTGCAGTTCCTCTTAGTCTCCAATCTCCAGTAGTCCTCGGTGCGAAAACTTGGAATATTTTTGAGCTTTATGTTACCGAACTTGAATTTCATGAACCGTGAACACTGTTGCACTGGTCTTTGGGAACATTGTTACCAAAACTTTTTTAGACATTAAAAGCTGTTTGCGTTACTCGGTACTCTAGATTAAGTTCGTGAAGTGTCAAAACTGGAAGGTTGAGCCTTTTTATTTGATTACCCAAATTAACCAACAAAAATAAAATCACTTATTGCTTCTGCAATGCTAAGAAATGAGCAGAGCGATATATATGATATGATATGTTAATCAGCCAAAATAAGGTGCAACAAAAAACGCAGAAATTTTCTAATGAACCAGTAAACATTGAAATTTACTGAATTAGATTAGAGGATTAGAAGAATAAAACGAATTTAAAAAAGGAAGGTAAAAGATTTTTAGCAGTCTTCGCATGCCAAGTGGACTAATTCAGTTATGAAAATGCGCAGAGTTTAATCACCAATTAGTTATGATATAAAATGGTAGATGATGGAGCTAGAAAACTGGCTGCAACGCAAATCTGTCCTGGATTTTGTGGTCGTGTTACATCACAGTGGTCTCCTGGAAATATTTCGTATTCTTCATGTCAGGTAATATTTTGATTAGTTTCATTAAAGGAAGAGTGTACCAACCTTAAATTAGTGGGAAATATTGAGGAAAGAATTGAATTGTTTATTTTATTGAAGGTTTCCACTTTTTTCCCATATATTTCCATATTTTTACTTTTAACTGATAAAATAATGATTTGCAATTAATGCCGAAATTTTATAAAAAATGATTTAGGCATGCAGCTGGGGTTATCGAAGTATCGATAAATTCTTATGTACGGCTTGTGAGGAACCTTTATTGCTCTATGATTGGCTTTATTTGACCTTCATTGCCGTAATTCCACTTTTAATGCACAATTTTTTCATATATTTTTATTCTAAATACAGGTCATATTATGTCGCAAATTTATTTTTTTTACAGAATTTGATTGAAATTTAAGTATGTGGTTTACACCGTACATTGATCATCCTATTGACAAAAATGCTAAAATACTGAAGAATTTTTGTCTACAGATAAAAAAATTAGGAATGAGGAATTTTCTATTAAGATTTTTACATATGTTTTAGTAACAATGTTGTTTTTAGTAATCGGCTGTATCAAGTTTCTCAGTATCTATGCTGCTTTGCTGAATGTTTTATTTCTGCAGTTGTTTCTGTTTTAATAATGCCACCACAAGGAAGTTTTAAACTATATGGTTGTTCGAAAACACACCTTCGTGAATGGTATCCAATATTTTATAATCCGGTTATTAATCATTCACATGCTTTGCGATGTACAAATGAGATTGTCTTTCCGTTGTAAGTTTGTTTTTTTATCTGGCTTACCATTTTTATTTATAAATATAGCCAACTGTATTTCGAAACTGATTTTTTGAGATTGAATCTCTTAAATTTGTGCGAATTGCTTTTTTATATCGCATGACGTTTATGCTTCAACTGTGATTCATTAATAAGAAAAAGACTAAGTTAATTAGAAGAAAATTTTGCACATCTTATTGAATGATTTAGTTAATGTGAATATAAAATTGTTCCATTTCTTATTAAACGTTAATTGTATGGCTGCAAACATGTAGTAAATATTTAGAGAGTTCAAAAAATAGCTCATTGGAGGTATTGACCGCGACTTATGAATTTTTGCTGTTTTTTCTGGATTTACTGGTTTTTCAAATAGGGATATTGGCTATATAAATATATGTTCAGATATTCCTTGCCATTTATATATTTTGCCATGGTTCTGGTTTCTTTACTAATTCTTCGCTCGTGTTTGTATTTGACACTATTGCGAGGTACTCGCGTTTCATCAAGGCCATATTACGCTGCTCTATACGCTATACCGTTAATTTCATTATGCCATTCTTTACTGGTATTTTATTTTCATTTAAATAATTACGATAATTATTAATTCGAATTATCATATAGAAACAACAGCAGTGAATTTTGTTTCATTTTCTTTTTCTTAATTGTAAGATTTTCTAAATGAAGTAGAATAGTGAGAATAGTAATAGTAAATTTAAATAGTAATAAAATTTTTATTAAATTTTTAATTGTTATATTTCTCAGTCGAGGTTATCAAATTTTGAAATCTTATTTGATAAAGTTTAGATATTTTAATTCTTTGAGTGTTTCCGTCTCTAATTTCTAGAATAATTTTGTGAATTTTTTCAGGCTGGCATATTGTATTTTATTTTTCCATATGTGGCGCTACTATTCAGCCTTGGCTTAAATGCTTTGCATATGGCATTAGAACTTAATAAAACAATTCGTAGGATGTGCTTAGAGATGATTACAAAACCACACAATATTTCCATATTAATTGTACATATGGCCTTATTCGGGTTTTCCCTTTTTTCTTTGCTATCAAGTCGTCCGATCTCGACTGATATGGTTAGTATCGCAGTAACCGTCATCATTCTTGTACCATTACCATCGATTTTTTATATTTTCACAGTTGGCATCACTTTTCCAGTATATGTTCATAGTTCATCGTGAAAAATCGTTTCAAATTTACAATGGGGATATGCTGTTTGCTTGAAATGAGATAGTTGCTTCGTAATTTAGTGCTTAGTAATTTTTATTTTTAATCCTTAGAGTTACTTCATATTTAATAAATATTCTAGAAAACTGTCCAGCTGCTCCTCGCTTTCACTCTGCTCTTTTTTTGGGGGTTCGCTTGATTTCTTTTGTTTCAAATTTATAGAGTATTTAATATTAATATACATTGGAGTGAATCGGCCTGTTGGTTGTGCTTTTGTTTTATTCAAGGGGATGGTGTTCTGCACTTGTCAGGTTCGCAATAAATGTTCTTTAATTTTTGACAAGGCATTATTTTTACGAAATTTGATGCTTGATTCAGAAGTTTTCTATTAATCTTGGTAATTTATTTTTATAGGATATTTTTTTTTTATTCTTCTAAATGTTATTCTGTCTCATTTTTTTCATTTTTCTGTTTCCTTTTCATTATACTGATGAATTTTTTTTTCGTCTTTTTTTTGTAAATTTCATTTAATGTTGATTGTCCATACTATATGAAGGTTAAGTAATTCGAAATGATAAATTTTTGTTTGTTTCAGTTATATCATTATCTCTATGATACCTCCGTATTATCTCATTCTCAGTTACTGAGTATCCACTTTGGCATTTCGTGTATCTCTTATTCATTTGCTCAACTGTGAATAGGTTCGATATCGTTACTGTTTGACTTCTCCAACAATTACAACTCTTCAACAAAAATTGCTAATCATATTTATGTATCCTTTTTTCGTTTGTATTTCATAAAGGCAATGTGAAGGGAAATAGCCTTTTTTTCGATTATGCATTTTTCTCTTAAGTCATTGTTGGATTTATTAAAGTTTAAAATTTATATGCATTATTTTATATCATACAGCATTATGGATAATCAATTAATTGTTTAAAATCGATTTACTGCATCGTCATTTTTTAAAATATATATTATTTATTTGATCGAGCCAGGATTTGATGTTTCTAAATTATTTGAGAATCAGGAAAAAGATTTACCCAATAATTTTTCAGCTTTTAAGAGAAAATTTGTATTGTCTATGTTAAATGCTGTAAAATTTACAGTATTGGGCATGGAGGACATATTGCTGCGATTAAGAGTGAATTATTGGGTAAATTGGCTATCTGTGCTTTTTGATTAAGCATTTCTAATTCTCGTATTTGATTGAAAAATTATTTTTGATAAAAATTTCTCTGCCAAAGAATAAAGTGGTTTGACATCGATTTTTTTCGAACAACACCGTACTTAGCACCCAATTTGAAATCTATGAGAGGAACATCGAAATTATAGGGCACATTTAGGTCACAAAAGCCAGCTTTGTCAGTTTTGCATTTTTCATTCATTCTATTCCTTAACAAAAATAGTTTCTGTTAAGGGATAGAAATACTTGAAAAATTGGAGTGAATTTGCTTTAACTTAGTAAATATTGTAAATTTGAAAATTTTGCAGATTTTTCTGCCAAATAAAAGCGCATAGATAAATGCTTAATGTTATTTTTGTAATTCTCGTGGTAATGCCACAAAAGTAAAGAGAATGACGTGTAAACAAGCTACTTCAGATCTGAGGGGATGTAGAAAGGCGATGTTTGACGTGCTACTGTTTTTGTGGAAATGTTTCCTGATTTTTCCAAGCGTTCATGCATCGGTTGGTGATAATCATCCAGTTTTTGCTTCCTGTTTATCAGGATGTATAGATCGGCTAGGATGCCCGCGACGGTCATCTGAAATAGAGTGGATTTTTCAGAAATGCTATAGGTTCGATTTTTTCTAAAAGCGCGAACCATTTCTGGTTGGGATCACTTAAATGGCTTAAGAGGCCAGATACACAATTTTTATAGTCATCTGGTGGTGCAAATATAAATGAGTCACCAGTACCACTCGGGTTTTTGGAGGAGGTTTTGATCATGATGGGATTAGCGGCGTCAAACGAAAGGGTTAAATTAGGTTTGACATTATTTTTTTTAATATTCATATAAGATGTGTAATATTTGGTAAACTTTAGTGGTCTTATCAGTCTAAAGGCTTCATAACTATTGATTTGGCAACTTATTTCGTTTCTAAAATTTTTCATCCGGCTTATGAAAGAAATTGAGCAAATTTGTTTAGATCAGAAAATTCTTGACTCGTGTTTTTTATCTTCTTTATTTTCCCAGTTTCCTTAATTTAATTCTTCGCTTTCAGTTGTAAGGAACAGTGTATTCGGATTACTGTTGATTATTTTCAAAATATTCTGCAACAAGGAATTCCTCAGTTTTATGGTAAATGGCCCTTTCAGTCCGTTACATTACCGCTGGTTCCAAATATTCCTGTACAAGTAGATTTTTCACCTGATTTATGTTTACATTTTACACTTCTTTTCACTTCTTCACTTTGCCCCATAAATTAACATATACTTGTAATTTAATTTACAGCTGATTTGGGATTCAGCCGTTACGTTAAAATATGTTTCAGGATTTTTATAGAGATGATTAGTTAGTATGACTTGTTTTACATTCAGACATTCAAACATGTCCAATTATTTTTGTATCCTTGGCTTTAATTTTTTGGAACAGGGCTCGGGTCAAACTATCATGGGATTTTGATTTCTGTCCCTTGATGAGCCTCACTGGCAATAAAATCTATGGACCCATCTGTCTTTTGTCCACAAATGACTTTATGGCAAAAGACTTTTTCTAATACCTTTGGAGCTGACCAAATCAAAACTGGTAGTTCTTATTGAAAGAAGGAGGAAAAAATGAATTACTCAGGAAATTGCATCAGTGGTGTTCTCAATAATGAATTTCTTTTCCGTCATGTATTTATATTCAAATATTCGTCGTATATCTAATGATTCGAGAATGAAAATAGTGTGGATTACATATTCAGTAATTGGAATGATTGTATGGTACGTGTCTTATGTTGACATTCGGCTTTAATACTTCGATTTATTCATTTTCATTTTCGGTATCTTTTTCTTCAAAAAAAATTTGGTAAAAAAAAAATTTCTTATAAATTGCGGAAAATTTTCATTTACCTTTTAAGTATGTGCCAGTCATTATTTTATGGCAGATTGAATCGTCTGTTTTATTGTTAACTGCCATCTAAATGTTATTTATTTTGTGAATTTTACCGCTATGGTGAGATTATTCTCTTTTTATATTCATAAAGAAAATCATGAATTTTTAGGTTGTGCTCTTCACTTTTTCACTGGTTCGACTATTGGCTCACAGAATATTTGGATTATTTTTCTGGTTTCGGTTTTATTCTCTATGCGTTTTTCGCTAGTATTTCATTCGTCTTTCCCGAACTTCAAAATTCTTTCCGTGGGAGAATCTTGTTAGTACCTATTTTTGTGTTGAATTTTTTATTCTGTGCGTAGGATTCCAATCTTTTTTGGCTAATTTCTCCTCTTTCTCGGTTTATTTTATTCATCGTCCCACTTCGAGTAAAATTAGGTGTTTTTTAGTGTTTTTGTTTTTAGGTGTAAATATTTTTAGTAAAATTAGATCAGTTCTATTATTAAAAATTCCAGATCTAATGCTGCATGTATAATTTTTTAGTCTCGGAAAGCTGTATTGAAATAGAAAACCGATTTTTATTTAAAAAAAAATAAAATATTTTTCAAATTCAAATTGTACCCAAATATTCGAGATAAACTGGTAATATTTGTTTTTGCAACCAGAACTCTTGAACACTTATACACTTATACACTTTTTACAAATTTTGCTTGTAATTGTTTATCGATAATTCAGCTAATTCTTCTTAGAATGGTAATTCCGATTTTTCAGTGTTTGAAAATGCATCTAAGACCTAGTTAGGAATTTTCCTGTTAAGGATAACTTGTTGGTGCAGTTTAATTTTAACATGAAATTATTCTTGAATTACTCTTGATTTTCGTCAAATTGAATTCAGATTCTGAATTCTCTTTGCAGATATAGATTTATTTCATCATATTTGAACCACAAAAATCTGTCGAATAAGTCAGTTATGTCTAAAACATCAGTAAATTATTCCGCAATGAATCATCTTTTTTTCAAAACTCTATAGTTGAGTCAATTTTTGACAGTTAGTGTGAAATAGCGAATGATGCCTTCGTCGTTTTTTGTACAGAGTTACACAATTAATCTATTATTGCGAGTGTTTCTTTTCGTTTTGTCACCTGCTATAACCAATTGTAAATTTTAAATAGCGGTGCAAGCGATCGCTTCTCACAACCAAATACTGTCACTGAATCACACAATACATTGCGAACACTGACTGACCTTTGAAATGAATCAACGATAGCGACCTACCATCTCGGGAGTACCATCTTAGCGCTGATATGAAATTATTTAGGAGAATTTCCTTTTCAGTTAATAAGTAGAAACCTTTTCCATCTTTTAGAAATCGAATATATGCTAAAAGCAAAGCACCGTTGTCTATTAAAGTAGGTTTATCACTTTCTAATTTCTACTGCGTTGTTTTTAAAAAGCACAATTTTAATTTCGATAACGAAATTTCGATATCCGCGATCATTTCATTAATTCACAGCATTTTTGTTCCAAGAAAATTTCTTGGTACTATCAAACGATGGTTTGCTTTACAGTGAACATGACTTCATTAATAGAAAACAACAACCAGTTCTTTGCCTTTTATATGCGATTTTCTCGATTTAATAATAAACACGGAAGCATTGCAAGAGGCACGTAACCCCTCATTTTTTTTGGATTCAGTTTAAATGATCTCATTCAACGTTCGTCGTTTTAAAAATAAAGATTGGATATTTAAAAATGGCATATTTTTCATTTTTATACCAGCGTAAGCTTTTTTCAGTTGGTCATTACTCTGGAAGACTTTATATATTCATTGGTGAACAGTTTGGCAAATTAGGCAGACTGGTAATCGAACGTAAAAACGTATGTTAAAAGCTAAGCAGCCTTGTCTATTTGTGGATGAATGAATGAAACCACATACTTAAGATTGTTTGCTTTCTTCTTTGCCTCATACATCTTTGT